TGCCTTTTCCCCCAATACAGCTTGTTGCAGAAATTGTATTCTTGTCCTTTGATGGATGCACTTTGTTCTAAGGCCATTCATTTCAGATTTGCACAGTATATGTTATACTGCTTCCCAGCTGTTTATCCTTGCAAATAAATGTAGAATGGTTATTTTAAAAGACTTCCAAAACTTGGTTGGTCCAGAAAATATCAATATGAATAATGCTGTCATCAATTTTGTATCACTGAAACGTTTATTCTTTGTGATAAAGTTTCCCCTCCACCACTTGGTACTAAGCAATAACAGGAAAGGTTAGCTGTGAAATGCAGCTCTATTCCTCCAAAACTGTTAATGATATGACATCAATTAGAGGCAGCACCTCACAGAATAGCCATTGCTTTTGGTTTCTACACTCTAGAAAGTAAATTCATTTGTAGATACAAGAGCCACTTTTCCATCCCACTTGAACCTCATATGGGTACAATGTGATACAGGGGGAAATGTGATAAACTTGGGTGTCCAAAGACCTGCATTCAAATCCTGCCTGAGTGACTTAGGGCAAATTACTTCTTCTTTGGGCCTCAGTTTCCTCATCTGTAAAATGAGGGGGCTGGACCATGTGACCTCTTAAGTGCCTTCCATTTCTAAATCTATGATCGTAGAATCCTATGTGAAAGAATATGTCTAATGCTCTATACAAGAAATAAGACAAATGGGAGGCAGATGTTACTACCTTAGATTTGAAAATATTAATCTCATCTGATCCTCACATCAACCCTGGGGGGTAGGGGCTATTATTACCTCCTTTTACAGGTGACATGACTTGCCAGGCTCACACAGCTAGCAAGTATCTGAGGTTGGATTTGAACTCAGGGCTTCCTGACTCCAGGCCCAGCACTCTATGCACTTCAATATCTAAAAGCCTCTAACTGATGTTGTGTCATTAACAGGTCAAATTAACAAGCATTTCTTAAGCACCTACTATGTGCCAGGCGCTGTGCTAAGTGCTTCACAAATATTATTTCATTTGATCCTCATGGCAATCCTGGGAGGTAGCTGCTATTATTATCCCTGTTTTACAGATTAGAAAACTGAAGCAAAAGTGTGAAGTGCTGCCTCTAACTGATGTCATATCATTAACAAGTCAAGTTAACAAGAATTTCTTAAGTGCCTACTATGTGCCAGGCACTAGGTAGGCTAAGCCCCGGAAGATACAAAGAAAGGGAAAACCAGTCCCTGCCCTCAAGGAGCTCACAGTCTAACAGAAGAGACAACAAGCCAACAACTGTGCACGAACGAGCCATGTTCCAGAATAGATGGGACATCAATGCAGTTGAGGGAAGGCATTAAGACTAAGGAGGCCTGGGAAAAGCTTGTCACAGGACGTATGATTTTAGCAGAGCCTTGAAGGAAATCAGGGAAGCCAGGAGGCAGAGATGAGGAGACAGGAGACAATCCTGTGGCTCCACGGCGATTTCATACAGGAAGGGGTGTAGGGCTTACAATCAACCGCAGGAAAAATAAAGAACAGTGGACTGAATGGCAGCAAATGCAGAGCTAACCATGTGCACCCCACAGGCACTCTCCTCCCCTCCTCAAAACCAAATTCTATTGGCTTGAAAGACCCAAAATGCTTCTTCAAGCACCCACCATCACCCAGGCAACCTTGTAGTCACTAGGTAGGTTTGTTCCTATGAAGGATTCACACAGCAAATATATTCATTTTATTTCTACCAATGCTTTTAAGAAGGAGGGTAAGGAGAAGAGAGCAAGCATTAATTAAGCTCCTACTATGTTCCAGGCATCGTGCTAAGGGATTTACAAATATTATCTCATTTGATCCTCACAACCCCCCAGTGAGGGCAAGTGCTATTATTATACCCGTTTTACAGTTGAAGAAACTGAGGCAGAGGTTAAGTGATTTGCCCAGGGTCAGAGAGCCAGTTTTTATGCAACCAAAGGTAAACTTTGATTTATCCTTTCACTTATCCTTTGTAATCTGACTTCCAGTTTCACCACTCAACTGAAACTGTTCTCTGCAAAGTTGCCAGTGACCTCTTAATCACCAAATACAATGTTCTTTTCTTGTACGTATGCATCTCTTCATACAGAATGTATACTTAAGGACAGCAACTGTTTGGTTTCCATATCTCCAGAGCCTAGCATATAATGTACATTTAATTACTGATTGATTGATACTGGGGGAAGTAGACGTATTGTTCCACATGAATGAGACTTCCAAATAACTGAGGCTTAGAGGATACCTTTAATGTCTTTATTGTCTGTCTTGTTCAAATGGAAACAATACAAGCAGGGACTATCTCATCTCTTTTCTTTGCATCCGTAGTGCCTGGTATGTAGTAGGCATTTAATAAATGCTTACTGATCCTATGATGCTATAATAATAACAATAGCAGCATTTATATAGCACCTACTATGTGCCAGGCACTGTGCTAAGCACTTTACAAATATTAATCTCATCTGATCCTCAGAACAACCCTGGGCTATTATTACCTTCTTTTACAGCTGACCTGACTTGCCAGGCTCACACAGCTAGCAAGTATCTGAGGTTGAATTTGAACTCAGGTCTTCCTGACTCCATGCATTAATTATGTGAACTTCAAAAGGCTAAAAATGACTTTCTTCACCTTTTATAAATATCTCTCTTAAAATACTACACACCACCTTCCCTGCCTGCTCAGACAGACTACCCTGAAAATCACTTAAAATCACACTGGTTTTTATGCTCCAGAGGTTTGTCATGATCCTCAGTTGCTGAGCTTCCGTAGTTCTTATACTGCCTTCATAGAGTTTTTTTAATTGACATCATTTAGTACTGAGATAGACACAATTCTCCAGAGTCCTCTTCTGTCTCTGCTACAATTACTTGTCCACTTTAGGAAGTTCCAAAAGAAATATCAAGAAGCCAGGGGGTTAAAAATAAGATGATTTTCTAGGCTTTATGTTATTTTGTTATGCCACAGTCTGGATGGGTTAGTTCAGCTCTTCACAACTGTGGTATGTGACTCCAAAGCCACATTTGCAATCAGGATATTTCAGAGGTAGATGAGAAGTCAATGAGAATACATATCCAACAAAGGGTAACCTGACCTAAGCTTGAAGATCCCTGGTGAGGGAGAACTCCCTATCTCCTAAGGCTGCCCAGGCCACTTTGGGGTAGCTCTCATTTATACCAAGTTTGTCCTTACTGAAAACCTGAATCTGGACAGAACGGAACAGAAGGCAGGAAATGACTTTAAAAAAAATAAAAGACAGTAATTGACATATTTTTTTAAAAAACAATCATTTTTCTGCCTTCCTTCCAATAATACCCATTGCTCCTAGACATACCACTGGGGGCTGAGCAGAATAAGGCCAATCGTTCTTCCACATGCCAGCTAAGCAGTCTTTCAGCATCCACTAGGCTAAAATCATCACATAGCAACAACCACCCTTTAACAGCATTACACAGAAAAGCTGTCTAACACATTCATTCTAACACATTCCCTCTACTTTCCCCTCTCTCTCTTTCTCCCTGCCACGCTTTCTCCTCTCCCCACACATGGTGTGATTGGATATTACTTCTTAGTTACTAAACCATAATGCTTCAGAGGCAGAAACACAGGCCTTCAATGCTCTTAGGCTGTTTGTACCTTCTTGTGCTGAAAGGTATGTAAGTTCACTCTAAATTCAAACCTATATTAGACACTTAGAAGGATATGCTTTGGGAGAAAATACACGAGAAAATACATGTCCTTAAGACAGAAAATGCTGAAAATAACTTTTCAGTTACACAACACTAATGAGTGAAGGAATTCCTGGTCCCCACAGATTTTTCACAGGTACACAAAAATGTAAGCAGCTGTTCTCAGAACTACCACTATTAATAGCCTAACACATCCCTAGTGTGATGAGCTGTTTTTTAAGCCCCCACAAAAACACTTGGCAGTTGGATGACGTGGGCACTGGAGGACTCTGATAATGTGAATGGATACATTTAAAGTATATGATGCATACGTACATTCTTAAATCATCAGCTACATGTCATGTGAAAAACTTAGTTACTCATTCAAACAGTTGTTTGTGAGCAATTAAATATTAAAGCAGTTTGCATCACTACCTTAAGGATTTGCAGTTAGCAGTCTACCTGGATGTGCACCTTAAAATGGAGGAGGGAAGGTGAGAGAAGAAAGAGAAAGAAGAAGAGGAAGAGGAGGAAGAAGAGGAGTCAGAACACTATGAGCAGCTTACATTTATATAGCACTTCAAATGCTCTAAAAACACTTTACATTATCCACTCTATGGGAGGGCTGCCTTCCTTGGCCCCATTTTACAGATGAGAAAACTGAGGCTCAAAGGGACTAAGTGACTTGTCCAGGCTCACACAGCTGACAAGTCACTGAGGAAAGACCTGAAGCCAAAGCCTCCCGAGTCCCACCCGCCTCTACCTACTCTACCCTGCTGACTCTCTCTAAGAGCTCCTCCAATTGTTAGGGCCAAAAACCAGTCAGCTCACTTGAAAACTGGCTGGTCCTCACAGGGCTGACATTCAGTCCATTGCTAGGCCTACACCTGAAGCTCTTCCCACCTGCCTGGCAAGGGCACAAAGAAGAGAGGGGTGATAATTGTCTAGGAATTGAAGAGTGGTTCAGTGAGAGCAGGAGGTAGCAAGGACTAAGAATGGCCAAGAAAGGAAAATCTCCCAAAGTGGAAAAGGCCACCTATCACTGGCGGTCCTCAGGGGACAACTGAGTGAACATTTTCTGGGGATGTAGTGGAAGGCATTCGGGCTTGGGTCAAGGCAGGTTGGAGAAGATGACCTCTGAGGACCCTTCCAACTCGGAGATTCCATCATTCTATAACGTTAAAATATACCTTTGCAGAGAAATGTATAATTCTTGGTTCTTTTATACAACAGAAATAGGGAGAAAATGATTATAGCTCAAATAATAACAATTGAGGCCTTGCTTTTATAATAAAAGATTAAGAAATGCTTGGCTTTCAGTTACTGTTCATACCTGGCATAACGAATGACTTCCACATGTTGGATGGTCTGGTCTTTCTTACGAAGAGCAACGCCTTCTTCTGCTTCCAGTAGCAGCTCTTGCCACGCTGCCCATTCGTCCCCATCACTCTCTTCCTAAACAACATACAGATGAAGGACTCTGCTTCATTTTCATTCAAATGGAACAAACCAAACCTGTACCCACAGAATCAACGTTTCTCGATTTCTGGAAGTAAGCACCCAGTCCCATCATTTCTCAGAAGTTTATCACAAGACACACACATATACACATACACACACAAACACATTCACTAAAGTTGAACTCAGACAGAATTCAGTTCTGACATATTCAAAGCAAAGACATTATTAAAGTCATAATCTGCTGAGAGAAGCGATCCAACTTATCTTGACTGACATAGGGCCATCACTGACAACTATCAGTATACAGCTGCTCTTAATTATAGTGAATAGGTAAACAAATAATACATTCAAATTCAACAAACATTGGCTTGGAAATGTTTATGTGGGACAGGGGTAGCCAATTTAATTGGAGGAGATATATAGTGTATGTACGTATGTATATATAAACACACACTGTGTGTGTGTATAAAAATAGTCTAGGACGAAAAATAGAAGAGAAAATGAACACAACAGTACTAAATTTTAATACAGTTTAAGAAACTAGAAGTTATTTCTCTATTTGGACTTCTGAATACTGGTCATGTCACAGATTAAACGCCACAACAAAAGAAATTACTTTGAAAAGCACAAATACAAGAGACAGTATCTGAGTATATCAAGTACTGTAATATCTAATTTCAGATTGTTTTATAATCTAAAGGTTAAGCAATACAGAAACAAGTAATATACTTGATTTACATGACTTTTCCCAGCAAAAGCTCAAAAAGCATCATATATTCTTAAGGATTTAGTGTTTAAATATAACACTTCATGAACAACTGAGACATGCAAAAGCACTGACTGAATGGTTCAACACTGCTGAATCTGTGAGAATTAGCATTTTGGAATAATGGATAAGATTCTCTAAATTAAAACACAACTAAAAAACTGAAACCTATAAATCAATAGTTTCTGATGCAAACAGATTTATTTTTTTCTTTTTTGGGGGGGGGGAGAGGCAACGGGGGTTAAGTGACTTGCCCAGAGTCACACAGCAGTGACTGTTATGTGTCTGCGGCTGGATTTGAACTCAAGTCCTCCTGACTCCAGGGTCGATGCTCTATTCACTTCACCACCTTGCTGCCTCAAACAAATTTCTTTTGCAAAATGCTAACTTAGAGAATTGATAAATTCATATTATAGAATGTGTAGCCTTGAACTTCAGAACTTCCTGGACTAGAGTCAATCCTATGTTGGATGGCAGCCACTCTTAGAGAACGAAGTATGCCACCTATTAGATACTATAAACTCTCACACAAAAGGTCACAGGCTACATTAGAAGAACTCTGAGTGTGGAGTCATGGATTCCTCAGACACAAGAAAAATACTGATGGTCTGGGGAAGGAGGGCACCTATGTCAACAAAGCCCCAATTCCAGAAGCAAACCAGAACTTCCAAGTTCTAAAAGTGCTACAAAAGCCTTCCTACAATGGGAACTCAAGATGTCAGGAATCTGCTTATCACATTCTCTTCCTTCCTCAGCAAAGCTTTCAATTCATACTAGGGGGGGCTGGGGGGATTCTTTTCCTCAAGTCATTTCAACTTGACACTGGAAGCAAGTGGGAAGAAGGGTCTTGTTTTTATAAGAATTCACTTTACAGCAGGCATATCAATTTTGTAAAGAAGGTGAGAGCTGGAAATTCAAAACAACTAGAGTAATTCTGGAATAGAAGTAAACTGAATATACATCATGTTTGGTACAATGAAAAACAAGACAAACCCCACGGTAACAGGTACGATTCATGATCTGGCATGCATCCCATGTTAAAATGGCCAAAACAAAACAAAAATCACAGCAGAACTTTACCTGATACTCCTTTATCCAGGACAATAATCCTGAAAAGCTGAAACTGGCCCAGTTTCCTCCATAATAGCTTCTTCTGCAGCAGAAATAAGATGGACAAGAATGAAAAGGAAGAAAACATCAGGAAATGCTCAAAGCAATTTACTCATCTCAATAAATAAAACAGCTGTGAGTGCAGGAGGCGCCACCAAGTCCACTAGGCTTTGGAAACTCCTTTTGAAGCCTTTCACTTCCTGAGAGCCCCATTTAATGGCTTGTTAAAAAAACTGGCAAACCTGTGAAACTCAAGGTTACATGGGTTGTGTAGGACAGACCCAAAATACAAATGGGGTCAGACAGCATGTGCATAATGAATCACAGGATTAAGGCTGGAGGAGATGTTAAAGAGGATCTAGTGCACCCCCTTCTTTTTTACAGATGAGGAAACTGAGGACCAGAGACGCCAAGGGACTTGCCTAAGGTCACACAGCCTTTAAGTAACAGAGGGAACATTCAAACCTAGGTCTTCTAACTAAAATTCTCTTTGCACTACAGCCCCAATTTCTTCCACCGGTGAGCCTCTCTAAGTTGGAGGCCAGGGCCCTGGTACCATCCATGTCATAAAGTGAACAGCCACAGATCCAAAGAAATAATTTTTCAATTTTTCAGCTCTTACTCCCAGCACCGCACCTTCCCCTTCCCTCCCCCTCCTCTCCCTGCCATCTCCCACCCCCACACAGTCTCTTGTCAGGCCTATCTCTACATGACACCCCCTTCCAGTATGCTGGACTCTACAGAGCCAAGCTGATGCTATGATTGGGCCAGAGCACAGGGTCAGGAGAAAGTGGATGGAAAAGCCCTGGTTTGCCCTGACCCCCAGCACGGCTTGACTTCATCTATTATTCTTTTTCCCACTCTCCCAAAGCATCCTTTGGTGGGCTTGTGGACAATTCATTAAAATCTCTCAGTTCTTTGAGTTTCGCCCTAAGGTTCCTTCTGCTTAATGTACAACACGTTGCCCAGAACCCACAAGCGCACTTCCTGGCATTTTTCTTGAGAATTCCAGCTATCACAGCAATTGCTCACATCCACAGCCTCAACTAAAAGGCTGGAATTTGAGGAACTTGGAATCTTTGATCCCTTAGGTTAGAGATCAGCTCAGGGAAAGGGTGGAGGGCGAGAGAAGAGGGATGCTGGGGCTCCCCTCCCTCCTCTAAGGAACACGGACCACCAAGGCAAGCTTGGCAAACAGGCTGATGATTTCAATTTTAAAAGCTTTAGCATAAAACAAAGCCACCAAACTAAAGTCTTTCGCTTTCTTTTTCAAGCCTCCACATCAGGGCATAAGCAAATACTTTTGGCTAACATTGCAAAGATTCATGATTAAAGTGAAAGACCTTTTTGCTGGGACAACATACAAGTGGAAGTGGCCCCAGCATACCTAGCAAAGATTCTAAAATCTTGACTCGCATGTGAAATGTCCAAGATAAACCGTCTTCAATTCACAGCAGTTTGAAAAGACAATGGGAATCACTAGATGATTCCAGTTGCAACTCTACCCCTTCAAAAGAAGAAAGAAATGGATAAGAACAGGGACTGAATCTCTAATTTCACTGGGATAGGGAACTCCCAGGTGAGGCCAAGCCCTCTACTGAGGCAGATCAACACTTTCTCTACAATTCAGGGTGCAGAGGTGTCAACCCCAAGACCAATGTGGCGCAAGGTGCTGCAAGAACCAGATTAAAATGTAATTGGGAAATGTTGAGCAAGATAAATAAAAATATAATAAAACACAGATAACGTTAATGTGTGATTTTCTAAATCAATCTGCAAGCCCTGGGGATCTGTTTCTATTTGAGTTTGATGCTACTGGCCCCGGGGACCACTCTGAAGTTAAGTGACTTGCTCAGGGTCACACATCCGGAGTATGGTCAAAGGCAGGCTTGAACCTAGGTCTTTCTGGCTTGAAGGCCAGCTCTCCGTGTAAGACCAAGCCAGATATCACTCTCTCTGAAAGAAATGACCAAATCAGTATTTGGTCAAAATCTATTCTCCTGCCCACCCTCTAGATTCAGTCATAGGGCTTTTGACAGAGCTAATTGGTTCTAATATTTTTCCATCCATGTCTCATTTTCAACTTTTCCTGTTGATGTGCTCTTAACATCACCATCTGGTGATCTCATTCAATTATGTATGGAAAAGGTGAATCGGGGCTTTCATTAGTCTAATCTCTCTGACAAAAGAGGGCAACATAATACCAGTAAACTAGCTATGGAAGACCAAAAAGATTGCAACAAAATGAGCTGCAGTGTTTCCATGATTAGAAATGAGATTTAAGACATTTTTCAGGACGTTTCAATATCTGCTAATACCAAAGCTGCCAATGGGATATTTAACATTAAAGCCAGCCTAGATCACATGTAAAAAGAAAAAACCAAAATGCTTTTAAATTTGGCCTAACTTGATGGGAGTAGCTTGCAAATTAGATATTCGAATTCTGTTTCTAAAATGTGATTTCCTCTGGCTTTAGGACTACGGCAAAACTTTGCAAAAAAGGTTAGGTTACTGATTTTAAACGTACACACGCAATTTATTTTAAGGACAAAGTGAGAATTTCCTGACTTCATGAAAAAAGGAAAAAGGGTATGGGAAACTTCTGCCAATTTTGTGTCACAACTGCCTCCTCACTTCAACTCAAGAAAGGAGCTGCTCACGATGAGGGATGGAGCTTGTTATCATTACCAGGAAATAGCTGGAGAGACACTCCATTTCCAGTGTTGTGGCTCTCTGCAGCACAAAGGACAGAATCTACCCACCCCTCGCAGTCAGGCCACGAAATATTCAGGGCTGGTCAAAGTTATCTCCCCCTGAAATTATCAACAACACACCATAGGGCACTTTCATTTTCTACAGCAGAAAAAATTTTGCACTCATGCGATTGAAATAAGTCTCTGGCTTCCCTCTTGAGTAGAATCTACACTTTATAACTGAAGAAAAAAGGATTTCATTTTTCTCATCTCACAATGGTACCATCAGGGTACCACCCATTTTTTTTCCTAAGACAGTAAGGATATGAATTACAAAGCTGATTCCATTAACCCCAGTAAAGCCACAGAAAAATGAAATCAATATCAAGGTAAACTTTCAAACTCTTCCTTAACCTTTACATATTTTTCCCATTTAAAAATAGTAGCCCATAAAAAAATTAATTAAAAAAATAAAAATAGTAGCCCAAATGATAATGTCTAGGAACAGGAAAATAAATTACAGACAGGTAAACAGAGGGAAAGAAATTGTCTGGGTACCATTTCTATTAAATGAGATCTACATTCATTAACTCCTAACTGTCTTCTTTTTCACTGTGTCCCATAATTACAATCTGATACCGAACCTTCTGTGAAAGTCTTATCCTTATAGATTTCTAGCATACTCCCAAAATAAATTACCTAGTGCAAAAGGAAGTCATTCCTGTTCATAAGTACAAGAATCCTAATGAAAGAAAACTACTGGCATTCCTGAAGGTATTCACATGAGAAATGCTTTACTGACTCCGACTAGGGGTTAAAAGTGTTTTCAGGCAGAGTACGGCAGGGAGTCAAGCTCAGCTTGCTGAGTAAAAAGTGGCCATTATCCACCCCCAGAGCCTTCCCCACAGAAACGTTACTATTAATACCACCTTATACATTTTAAGCAGTTCCTCAATGGACAAACATTTACTTGTGCCTACTGTGTGCGATGCCACAGCTCAAGGCCTGGAAGACATAAAGACAAAAAGCAAACATGCCCAAGGAGCTTACATTATGATGGGGGGGAATAGCAAATATACAGATAAGTAAACAAAGTATCTGAAATGTAAATATATGATAATTAAGCACTTCCATTTGATTTGATTCTCACAGGGATCCTGGGAAGTAGGCAGTAGACAAGGATTATCCCACTTTACTAAGATCAAATTGAGGCCCTTCCAGATGAAATGGCTTCCAAAAGTAATGGGCAGAAACAGCTTTTTCCAATTTTACATTGTGCCTGTGCTACAGGATTCTGTCTTCCTCCAGCTCTTGAGAGAGAGAGCTGACTTCACTGGGAAACAGGCCCCTAGCTAGACTTATGATTAATATGGTGACACTTATGGCCTTCACGAACTAATTCATACCCTAGCAACAACTCAGACACTAGAAATGTTGAGTTCTGGCCCAGTGGTCTTCAAAGTGGAGGCCCTGGCCTGACCCCAAGGGGCATGTGATAGACCAGGCACAGGGTAGGAAGATGGGATGCATCTCACCCTTCCTGCAACGGCCAGTCGAGGGACTTGTCTCCAACTCAACCATACTTACCCCATGTCCCCCCCCAAAAATCAACTCAGCTACTGCCCTCCACCATGCAGACTCCTAACTTCTCCCTTCTGAGCCAGCTATTGGCCCCTCAGGGCAATTATAACTTAACGACTACTCAGACACCCTTAGCAACAGGTGCCATTGGGCAAATTCTCTGCCTCTTTCCTCCTCTTCTCCCTCCCTTCCAGATATAAGCCCTCTGCCCCACAGATCACCTTCAGGGGAGCAGATGCCCCTTGGAAGGCAGGCTCTGTGCTTTGGGCAGTGGCCAGTGAACTAAAGCTTGTGTAATCTTCAACTCCTCACTCTTCCTCACCTCAAACAACCAATCGTTGATAAAACCTTATTGTTTGCATCTGACGTCTCTTGTGCCTATCCCCTTCTCTCAGCTCACAGCTCCCTCATTCAAGCCTTTATTGCCTCTAGCCTGGACTATTAGAGTAGCCTCCTAATTGGCCTTCCAGCCTCCAATCTCTCCATCTCCAACCCATCTTTTCCTAAAGAAGAGATCTAACTAATTCACTCTCCTTCTCAATAAACTCCAGTGGCATCCTATTGACTCTAAGATCAAATATTATTGCCTTTTTATATATACTTTTAATTATGTATTTAATATACATAACTATTAGTGCAGTAGAACACATGGATAATTTAAAACCAAGTAAACATGCACATTAGGGGTGCCTGCTCAAAATATTTTTACTAATGGGGTGCATTATCAGAAAAGTTTGGGGACTGACATTCTCAGTGAACACAAATCCTA